TGTCTTTGACCACTGATATCTGAGTGCCATTCCCCTTGTTAACTAATATAATATGGTAAGTAATATTTAGGTTAGGCGTAGCGTCCGACAGACATCAGGCAGCCAGGAAACAGGCATAAAATGGACCAACACAAAGAACTTGGAGGATCTGAACTTCGCCGATGATATTTGTCTGATTTCCCACAAACTGGAAGATAGACGAGTGAAAACCAAGAAGTTGGCCGAAGAAGCATCCAGAAGAGATAGGACTCCAGATGAACATAGAGGAAACAGAGGTGATGAAGATTGCTGACCAACAGCAACAGCGACAACAATCAGTATAAATGAGAGGAATTCGAAAGAAGTAACCTCCTTCACCTACCCACCTACCTGGGTTCCATCGTTTCAACTACATGAGGACGGAACTGATGGAGATACCACAGCGAGGATAGGGAAAGCAAGACAAGCTTTCATTTCTCTCAAGTCTGTGTGGAGGTCAACAGCACTCAACATGAAAAATAAGATTTGGATTTTCAAATCCAATGAGAAGTCAGTGCTACTCACTATACGGATGGTTCAGAGACTTGATGCTGCATCACGAAGGGCACTTCGAACAAACTACAGGCTTTCATCAACAGCTGTCTTCACTCAATACTTCGCTTAAGATCAGATAGCCGGCCACAAAAGATCAGCAACAGGGAGGGATCTCTGGGAGCCAACCAACCAGGAACCGATTGTGCAACAAATAAGCAGGAAGAAATGGTGATGGATTGGCCATACTCTGAGGAAACCATCAAGTGACATTACTAGACAAGCCATCGCTCGAGTGGAACCCGAAAGGGAAGTGGCGAGTTGGTCGTCAAACGGTAACTTAGAGGAAATTATGTGGAGAGGAGATGGAAGCATGTGGGCAGACATGGAGCCAGGTGATAAAGAGAACTGAACGCAATAGAGACGTGCGGCTGAAGCCCTATGTTCCTCTAGGAACTAAAGGAAACAATAATAATAATAAATAGGTGCAGCATATTCAATAAGGATGGGAAGTCAGTCGATGAAGCTGTGAAGCTGCATTAATTGAGATGGCTACGCCACGTGTTGCACAACATGAACCATGGTCTTCACTGAAGGGAAATGTTAGCTAACATAGAGGATTAGGTTAGGAGTGATCAAATCTATATCTGGAACCAATCCATGAATTCTTTGACTTTTGGTTTGATCTAGTCAGGTAGAGAGAGAGGTGTAGACTGTCTGGCTCTTGGAGGATCCTCTCAGTGATATGGCTCAGAATTGTTCTCACTGGCACAGATGCAATCATTCTTTGTAATCTACCATATCTAATAAAGCCCTCATGTTTTCGCATATTACTGTTCTTTCGTTCCACCAGTACATTTCTGCTTATTATAGTTTCTCTGAACTCCCTGGTGTGTGCTACATGGAGTGTGGCAACTGAAACAGTGCAAAGTTCTATGTTGAAACTCAGTAAGTTAGACAGTGTCAGAAAATAAAATCGGGCATGTTAGGAGGAGATTTCGTCAAGATGTAGTGCTCTGGATGCTGAGGAATCTTTTTACTTTTCAAAAAAAAACATTGTTTGCTTCAAAATTCGTTTGTAGTACCATTTCATTTGACAATATCGTAAGGTCAGTGAGAGTGTTAACGACGCCAGTGATGACATCAATGGTATCTTCAGTTATCTAGTTATAGTAGAAGTTGAATATCTTAAAAAAAAATTAGCGTCATATTTCCTCACTCAACAGTAATAGTTAGGAACGACTAACTTTGACTCTAAATAGAAGACGATTGGAGAAGTTTTCAAATAGTAGTATCATTGGTGCGCGTCCAAAAAGAACATGGAAATTAGGCGTACAAAAAGCAAATAAATATGAACTTAAATTTTTTTTCTTGTGTTTTAGGAGGGCATGCGAAACGCCGACATACATACTTCCGACAAACTACAGAAGGAAGGATCCAGGATTAATTGATCTGAGTTCGTGAGACAAGAGTGCAGGCCGACTTCGAGAACAGTAGAGTTAACCTATACAAAAGTGAAATCTCAGTCTAATTCATATAAACCATTTATTTATTTCCCCCTTTATCATTCCCATTTTTTTATGACATCTCAAACCTGTCAATATTATCACTGAGTGACTGAATGACTGACTAACTTGGTTTCAACGTGGAAATTTGCACAGAAATGCACCAGTTCAAGTTACCTCACTCCACAAAGCAAAAAGAAATGAAGACAAAAGAAAGATTTTAAAAAAAAGGAAGATTCGAAAGAAAAATAATGGACTGAAATGTGATGGAGAAACAATAGTAACATGGAAAAACAACAACAGGGTTTCAGTGGATATAGGAGATCACAGACAGTGAATACATCTTCGCCAGTGAGAACGATTTTGAGCCATCTATCACCAATTGTCTTTCTAGCCATTTGGTTCTTAGAATTCCGACAATGCCAAAAAACCAGGCTGTATACACCTCCTTATGCTCAAATCAACTGTTAAAGATACCATGGACTCATTCCATGTTTTAGTTTGACTACCGGTAGCTCTTTTCCACTGATATAAGAATATAACTCGGGCACTGTGGCAGAGTATAATTCCATTATGAAAAATAGTAATGATGGAATAATAATAAATTATAATACAACCACATGATATTTCTCCATAATGGAATTACAGCACTTCTCGAACCTAATCCTATGTCAGCTAATACTGATCGAATAGTAAGGCGAAGGCTGGGCATGTGTAACACATGTCCTAACCATCCCAATTGATGTCGCTTCACAACATCATCGATTGACCTGCCCACCTTACCCAACGCTCGACGCCTAACCTCATTATTACCCACCCATTTACACCACCTAAAAATGGGAGATAGAACACAGACGCCTTTAATTATAGACAGCTAGCTATTTCGTGTCTCCCACGCTGATGTCATCAGAATCAATAAGGAGTGATATAACTGAACATATAGTCAACACTGGTCACTCAATATGTAAGCAGGATTAATTCAAAGTCATCTACAAAGTCAAAAGAAACCACCCGAAAACTGTAAGCTTCCGTATACTTAGCATTACCGAGGCCTTAACGATCCAGATATAAAACCCTGATTTATGTACACAGAAGAAACTTCTCGACACTCTCCTTCTACCTTGGGTATAATTCCAAGTTCTACTATTTTATTATTAACTTAACGACTTAGGAATCGACTTGTTACCAGGGAATAGTCTTATGGACTTAGAGTATGCAGATGACATAGTCCTGTTAGGGGAGGATGCTGACAAAATGCAGAGTCTTCTGAACACCTTGAGCAGCAGTCTTCGTATGTTTGGCATGCGATTCGCCCCTGTAAAATGTAAGATGCTGCTACAGGACTGGACTACGTCAACTCCTAGCTTAGTGATAGGGAGTGAAGTGATAGAACATGTTGATCACTTCACCTATTTGGGAAGTTGTATCAGCACCAATGGCTTAACTGGTGACGAAATCTCAGCACGGATCCAAAAAGCTCGGGCTGCTTTCGCTAACTTAAACCGTCTCTGGCGTAGGCGTGACATACGACTATCAGCCAAGGGACGTGTGTACTGCTCAGCAGTTCGCTCCGTCCTTCTCTATGGCTCTGAAACATGGCCAATACGAGTTGAAGACATGAAAAGGTTGATTGTTTTTGATCATAGATATCTACGATCTCTTTCTCGCGTTAGGTGGTATAACAAGGTAAGTAATGTTGACGTTAGGCGTAGAGTGTTGGGCAAAGAGGGAAAATCAATCGAAGAGGCTATAAAGTTACAGAGATTGAGATGGCTAGGTGACGTGCTGCGCATGCCTAACCATCGCCTCTGCCGACGGACGGGCATTACTAGCTGATATAGGTGCAGGTTGGAAAAGAGTAAGTGGTGGCCAAACAAAAACATGGCATCATCAATCCATGAAATCCTCGACAGCTAAACTGAGTCAGGTAGGGAGATGCAAACTTCCGGGTTGGGGCCCGCCCTCGGGACTCTAAGAATCAATGGCTAGAGGCAATAGGTGATATAGCTCAAAATCGTTGTCAATGGCTTACGCAGATGTATTCAGTCTCTGTAATCTTTCATATTGCTTTCTACCATTACTCATTCTGTTTCACTCTTATACTTGTCCAAACTCGATTGATTCTCTTCACTCATTTTCTTGTCTACCTTTGTGTGGTATTTGGAACGTGGCAACTCGAACTGCTGCACTTCGGTGCCAAGTTCTATGTTGAATCCAGACAGACAGACAAACTTTATTATTAATGCTTTTGTTGGATTTTTGTATGACTTTTTAGCAACATCTCTTTCCTAACCAATCCTTTATCTACTCTTTCTACCTATTACATAATTTATTTTGGACACTTGTCTCCGTGCTTTCATTAAAATCTTTGTCAATACTTACCAGTCCTCATCCCCCTAGTTACAACTTGATTATTCGCCACATTTTTGAAACATTTTGATGACGCGAGCAACAACCCTAACTAATTTTTATTTTCGTTTGGCAATCCTAATGTAAGCACACACAAAATAATTGTATATAACTGCGATTGTACAGTTAAGTGAATGAATTCGCCGACAAGAGACTCTCAGCTGAACTTTTTGTTCTTCTAAATGTCTTTTCTCTCATGTCGTCTTCTAATCCATTCAGTGTCTCGATATGAAGTATGAAAACTTAGATCATTACGTAGTAAGGATAGGTTCAAGACAAGCTTTGTTGCATGGCATAGTTACATCGCATTTTTTTACCTCCAGCACAATTAAAAGCCGAGTTTAACATGCATTCTTGTCAACCCTCTCAAATACTCCAAAATCAAGACATAAAAAGCACAAAAATGCGTACAGTATGGCATAGAACTGACATATGTTTGCAAAAACTACGTACTGAACCACATCAAAAACAATTTAAAAAATTAAGATTCTCACGAAATTTTACTATGACAAACCATACTACTTATAAATATCATAAAGTAGCACAATACTTATTAATCAAAAATGTTCGACTTACCATTGAATCTAATATGTATTCACCATCCATTTCACTGACATCATAACGTAAACCGACAAGCAATGGATCATTACTCATTTGTTGAATATGATCCGAAAGACTTGGATCCGACAAGTCACACCAACCAACATAACCTGCTATACAGTAATAGTCTTCAGCTAGTGAAGAAATCATTAGACTTTCAGAATATGTTGAAGCAACCTAACAACAACACAAAGGATGAATGAATTGTTTTAATACTACAATTTAGTACAAGATAAGTAAAAAGGTACAAAATGAACTTTAACATACAGAATGTGTAACAAATGTTCTAAGTATAGATTCCACTGCAGTACTATGCTAACTATGATTTTGCAGCTTAGATAGTTCCGATAACGCAGAACACAAAATGCTACTTATTCTTCAAACTACTCGTAAAGTCAGTCTTAACATTATAAAAAAACTTAAGTACTTTGAACAACGCATATAATTCGACGAACAGGTGAACACCACCTAACACTTACACGATTAGCAAAGAGACAGCTTCCTTCATTTATCTAGGCAGCATTATTTCAACTAGAAGGTGACACCATACATGAAGATGTCAAAGTCAGCCAGAATTGGAAAGGCAAGACAGAGCAGCATCACTTTAAGATCAGTTCGAGAAGCTACTGCACACAGCATAAAGAATGTAACTCAGATTTTCAGCACCATTGTAAAGTCATCGATTCTACGTGGTTCAGAGACGTGGCGAACGCGTCATGAAAAGCATTTCTAACAGGCTGTAGACTTTATCAACAGATGCTTTCGCTGTCTCCATACTTTGAATGTTTAAATGGCCAGTCAGAAAGAATCAGCAACAAGAAACCCTGGGAATGAACCAACCAATCAACCTGTTGCTCAACAGATGTGCAGAAGAAAGTGGAAATGAATGGGACACACGCTTAGGAGACCGTCGAGTGACATTGCAAGCCAGGCTGTCGAGTGGAACACCTATGGGAAAAGGTGTGTTGAACGTCCGAGGACGACATGCAGGAGATCGTATGAGGAGACGAGACTCATCGTGGAGCCAGCTCAAAAGAACTGCAGAGAATAGGGTGAAATGCTGATGTGCTTTTGAAGCCCTACGTTCCATTCGGAACCTAAGGGGAATAATAATAATAATAATAATAAATTATAATATAACCACACATGGCATTTCATAAATTACAAGCTGATTCATACGGAAAGCCGATTTTCAACTGATGCGCTGCAAGTTCACATGTCATTATTTACGTAGTATAATATAGTTGAACAGTCAGTTAGTACAGTCAGGCTTGCGTATCTTAGTGTCAGGTGGATTGTAGTCATATACTGTTCACATTCTATTACACAATGTTTGCTTTATTTTCCCAGTCAAGTTCACTGGTTCCATTTAGCATCATTCTAAGGTGGAAAGTACTTCACTTTGTTCCTAGAAATGTTCAATTCAATACAGTCTTCAATTATTGACTGAATAACATCTTCCTCCAAAGCAGTCAAATTTTGAACATGAATAAAAAAATCAGGTCTGTAGATTTGCTTAATCTAAAAGATTTCTAAAACAATTTTCCTATAAACCTTTGAGGAAAAAACTTCACAACAGCATACGATTTATCTAATTTACTTATTGAAAATAAATTCCAATTCAGTTTAGTACTTTCTTCCAGGCTTATCTCAATGTTCACATGTATTTGATAACAATGTGAATTAAGCAATAATCTTTTTGATATGGTTGCATTCTCTGACCTGGGTGGCTTTTAATCACGAGCAGCTTTCATTGTCTTTTTAGACTACATCTTCAGCTCAAATATAATGCAAAGTGAACTTATTTGAATTTCCCATGAATGATAATAATTACATCGCCTGACAAACTCTGTGTTTAAAAAGAAGTAGCTATCAGTTGTTCCCTGCCCTGGTAACTGGATATCTTTATTCTCATCTTTATTCGATTATGTAATCTTTGACTTCAACCTATTCTCCTTCCACATAATGTAAAATTTGCTTCTCCTTTGTTTCTATGCTTTGAGTTGAACTCAACGCATTGTAACTCAACTTATTGATTACTGATACTTTTATCTAACCCTTGTCTTTGTTACGTCACTCCGTTTCTATTGTATCCACGTATTTATTTTATTTTCAGTTTCAACCACAAATTGCTATCAGTTATAGGACCTTGAAAATCAGGCAGTACCAGACGATTGCTTCGTTCTTGGTTGAGACTCTTCAGTACTGCCCACCCATGAATCCACTAGGGATGGGCCATGGGCTAGTGGATCCCGTTCCACTATCTGGATGGTCAACGATCTCGCCTTGCAACCTGAAGGTCCTTGATTCAATTCCCAGCAGCGGGGGGTGGTCATGGGTGCATACTACTGAAGGGTACCAAACAAGGTCAAATCAACTATCTATTACTCCCTGGTTTCGAACGGTTGTCTACAAGAAGTCAACTCGCGTCCAAGACTGAAAACAAAACAAATACTCGGATGCAATAGGAAAGCAGTTGCATAATGAAAGGCAGAGGGTGGGTAGGATGTGATGAGCAATTAATGAGTTGAGTACAGCCCAAATTATAGAAATGGAAGACAACCAATTTAGATTATATTAAAAGAGAAAAGGGTCAAAGCCAAGGACTAAGTAGTCAAATAAAGAAGAAAGAGTAAAGACATCGAGTTACCCAAGTAGGAGACGACTGACAACTACTGCTTGTTTCTGAACATCTAAATCGTGTTTCAGGCGTTTCATAGCAATTGCTTAGGCAACCTTGAGGAGCATCGATCCATAATGTCAACTGATAATTTTAAAGAACTTAAGATTGTATGCTAAATAAGATACGGATTTTCAACTCCAATGTGAAGTCAGTGGTACTCTACGAATCAGAGATTTGGCGCCGCGCCGCGTCACGAAAAGCACTTCGGAGAAATTACAGACTTTCATCAACAGCTATCTTCGCTCAGTACTACTCAAGATCAGATAACCGGCCAGAAAAGATCAGTAACAGGGATCTCTGGGAGCGAACCAACCCAGCGGGAACCGATTGTGCAACAAATATACAGGAAGAAATGAAGGTGGACTGGCCATACTCTGAGAAAACAAACCATCAAGTGACATCACATGACAGGCCATCACTCGAGTGGAACCCGAACGGGAAGCGTCGAGTTGGTCATCAGTGCGAGGGTGACATGGAGGAGTTCATGGGAAGAGGAAATGAAAGCATGTGGGCAGACATGGAACCAGGTGAAAACGTTGGCAGAGAACCGAACGCAATGGAGACGTGCGGCTGAAGCCCTATGTCTCTCTAGGAACTAAAGGAAACAGTAGCAATATATAATAATAAGACTGTTCACTTGGTGATCTGTATCAATGCAACTCTTTTTTAATTGTATCTAAATATTTATTAGTTTTTCGGTTTGGTTTTGTTTAAACTTGAAACATCTGTGTACACGTTATGTAAGCGTAATTTCTGCACACTGTTTATTAATTTTTGAAGTTTACACTGTTAATTGACATCATGTCATATTTACAAGTACGTTAAAACTGCTGTGTAATACATAAACCTAGTCAATTTCTTTAGACTGTACACACGCAGCTGATGAGAAGCCGACAAAGTAGACGATTGTACCATATTATTCTGCACAAACCATTAATCTTACTTTATTCAAATTCATAAAGGGGAATAAGTGTAAAAAGGTGAAGAAAGAATAATCGATGAGACTTCCTGCCATGGATATATTAACGACTTATAGCGTTATGAAAAACACTCAAATGAAAACAAATAAAGGTTAGGAAATGCATCCAAAAGCAGTACACATACATAAAAATGACAACTGCTACCTTGTCGTGGTGGTCGGGCTTGAACACCACAGTGACCCAACAAGCTAAACTGGCTGGGACTCATATTCCTGCAGGTCCTACCATGCCGGGAAGGTTGTTTGGATAGCGGTTAGACTAAAAGCTCCAGAATCCAATCGGATCAAATGGCGTATGAACCTATATTGGTCACCGGCAATCATGGGAACGTAGCTCCTGACGCTGCTCCGCTGCCTTGCGGATTAGACTCCAAGTCAAAGGCTCGGGGAGGGGGTGGTCCCTTAAGAAAACCACCTGCTTCAGTCTGGGCGCCCTGGTAGTATCTCAGCCCTCACACAATAAATGAAGTGAAGCAACAACAAATGAGTACTATAAATATACTACCAACAAATAATCAAGCCATTACCTACCTGAACATGAATTGCATATCGTACAGGTGACAATTCACCAATTTCATATTTCAATTCATTTTCAGCTCGTGCACGCATATATTCAATTTCTTCTTCATAATCATCTGCTGTATAATCTTGTCGTAATATCTTTCCCCAATCAGCTGTTACCGGGGGCGGTAACTTTCCACCCAGATATAATTGACTTGCACTTATTGATTCTGATAACGACCAAATAGAGAAATGTGCATCGATGAATGGTGGTTTCAATGGAGCCCAAGCTGCTGTGCCTGCTTGAACAGCTTCTTTTTCATCTAAACGTTCAAATTCTACCCATTCATTTTCTTCTGCGGCTACTTCAGCCAGAAGGTCAGGTTTATCATTACGCGGATAAAGTTGTTCATATTCAGCTTGTGTTAAAGGGCCAATAAACCCTGAAGCGGTTGTATCTTTGGCCTATAGACAGATGGATAAACAGACATACAACAGATATTATCAGTGTGAGATGAAAACGTTTAATGTTATAGCTAATTCATTCATCCACAATCCAAAATAACATTACATTCAGATCAAATTCATAATTTGTAATGTACACAGTCCAAGGAGTGAAAATTCACCTCAAATTCCCTTTCGGAAACGAAAAAATTAACTACACCACCACACAATATGTGATCCTGCTTGGTACCGTGAATATTGGTAATCAAGCAAGCTAGCACATTTGCATCAAATCATATACTACTACTGATTGATAGAGATGAGTAGTAGATGTATACAACTCATATCGACCGCCATCTCGTGTCCAGATCACCTCGATCATCTGGCTGGCTAGAGCAAGCACTACTAGTTGCTATGATTGGTATATACAACTACTACTCATCTCAATTAATCAGTAGTACATAATTTTATGCAAAAATAATACTTATTTAGACTGTAAATATTCACTTAAGTAAGCTTTCAGTAAAAAAAAAAGAAAGAAATTACATTAAAGCATAATACTAAGTGGGGAAGTTCCACTTACTTCTCATACAATAGCCAGAAATATGATTCTCTAATAAAGCTAAGCATTTTAGTGTTGAATGATAAACTACGATTGAATGAAAACTTGAGGGAACTCTTGTTATAAACTCCCAGAGATTTGAATATTTTGTCTTACGTTTTGTAAGGTTAAAAGTAATTCTCCACTGTATCCCATGGGATAAAAATAAGTGGAGTGATACTCGACAAACGCCTGTATTATGACGGAATGATAATGACTTCTGGTTGTCGTCTAACTTTTGACTAGAATGTACCTCCAGACACAACACTATAAATCAAATGATCGCCTGGAAATATTCCCATCCCCTCCCTCCACTGAGAGATAGACACAAAAGTCAGTCAGCTGAAACATTTATTAGACCAAATACATGGTATATCATATTTACACAAAACCTCAGGAATTTGAGCTATAAATAAACAAATCAAAAAACTGTCCAATCAGGGGTTATCATGTCAGTGGGCTCATAAATCATGATTTCAAGACTAACTAAGAAGCTTTTCCGTTCTAACAAATTACGATTCTATGTAGTTGGCAATGAGCCACACCTACTGTGTGTGTGTGTGTGTGCGTGGACTAGTGATACTACCGGGTCGCACAAACCTCAGTAACTGGAGTGGGGTTCGGAATCCTTAACCCATTCTAGATGGAAATCAAGCATATAGACTACACAGCCATACACTGTATTCATGATACAGGGATAGCTTTCGTTATCTAGAAAGTAAAATCTCCTTGTAAATGAAACGATATTAGGTTAATGTATATAATGTAGAAAGTATATATGAAGAAGATTGAAAAACTGGGTAATAAGCCAATAACTTTTTTGTCTTAAGGTATTCAGACCAAGTAGCATATACATTGGACTTCATACTTGTCTGAATAACAGAAGCGGTATGATGCCAGCATTGTTACCAAACATAAAAGGTACAAGTACTATATGCATCAGCATAATGCACCTTAGAGACATTTGAATAAGTGATTTAATTAATGCGAAGTTCTAAATTCATCTGGAAATAAATATTTTATATGTCACTGGTTCAGTGGTAGAATGTTCTCCAACCCTCATGTGATCCGGATTCGATTTCCGACTGCTGACGCACTTCTGAACCTTCAAGTTTAGTAAACCTGGTAAAGAGGGAAGGCTGGGAGTAGAGCTAGCAATCTCACCCCTGCGCTCCTCCCCGAAAAGGTATCACCGCTATTGAAACACGTCAAAGCCCAATCTTCCTTTCAGGACACAGAGGAATGGAAAGCTAAAGTGTATTATTATTCTATGAAATAAAATGTACTTATACTTCTAATAAGACAGATATGAATGTGCTCTTCTCCGATATGCTGATGCATTGATGGAAATTTCAACCATTGTTTCTCTTTCAAATATACAATTAAATAAAACTCAAATTGTCAAGTGTCGGTTTACAGGGATTTGAGAACCATTGGAAAACCAGCACTAGAGTACTGGACAGTTGTTTCGTCTTAGTTTAGGACTTTTCATCCACCGCCGGAGTTCGAACCCAGAACCTTCCGGTTGCGGGACGAGCTCGTAGACCATTTTATACCACTGGAACTCGACCCAATAATCCGTCAGTTCCAACTTCCGCAACCGCCAGCCAATGTCACGGGTGAGTAACTGTCATCTTGTCTGACTTGGTGAACCCCGCTGGTTACGACTTCTCACTAGAACCCCAAGTACTTCCAGTATAGGGACAGAAGTTGGCGCACTAGGCCGGGTCCCAATGGTTTAATGATCTACGGGCTCGCTCTGTAACCGGAAGGTCCTGGAGTTCGAACCTCGGCGGTGGATGCATACTGATGAAGAGTCACAAACTAGGACAAAAACTCAAGCAAACTTGGCATTACTCCATGTCTGGCAAAATGTCTAGACTAATCGGTAAAACAAGAGTTTTATCAACTAACTTCAGTGGTGAAAAGTAATTCTCCGCAAGTGGAAAACACCTTTCCGGATTCTTAATTCATTTGATGTATGCAGTGGAATGGTATTAAATAGCGTAACTAAAAGACAAAGCTTTAATTAAGACTAGTTACTTTTAGTGTTTTAAAATTTTTGAAAAAAGTTTTCATAATGACATAATATTCTAGAGTTTATAACCTCATCCACGAATACCGTTTTAAATTTCTCCGGCATAGAAATCAGAACATTTAAAAACAACAGTACTAAATAATTTATCATCAATTTACTAATTAAGCCTATCGAATTCAGTCAGTTAGCAGTACTACTAGACTGCATCTTAATGCCATTATCGAATTACTTTGTCCCATATTAATTGTGTATTAAATATATTACACACACACACACACACATACAAACACAAACGCACGCTGGATGACGAAATTTCCAAAACAATTTATTAGTGTTCATAATCACATCTCATCAATTGTAACCACACAACTTTAAAACTTGATTTTTATAATCCCCTTCCTTCCTTTCTTACCGTTTGTCGTAGGGGTAGTAGAATTTTCCAGATGTTTGGGTGGGCAGATGTTGAATCATTCCCTACTGAATATATTCTCAGCTGATTCGATACACAAAACTCAGCGATAAGCTATAAGCACTATATACAATTAAACATAAGATAAGTCTTAAAATCTAATATAACAGGGTTGGAGCGAAAGATTAATCACTGAAGGCCTATTTATTGGGTCAACTGAGAATATGCGAATTCCCTCTGTACAATATTGAGGGACTCTGTGTAGCACTGTGAAGCATTCATGCAGGGGTGCTCAATGTCTGGAGCTGACGAGGTGTTCGAGGATGGAGCTGTTGTTATTCTTCTTTTCTCCTCTGGCTAACCAAGCTGAACAGTGTGTTCCCGAATACGTTTATGGACTTGACGTTGCATACGGTCAATATACTTTGTTCCACACGAGCAAGTAAATTGTCATCTCCGGACATCGAGCACTCCCGCATGAATGCTTCACAGTGCTACACAGAGTTCCTCAATATCGTACAAAGGGACTTCGCAAACGCCATCTATCTGTACACAGCTGAAGCACTAGCTATTCGGGATCTGAAACCAGACCTCTGCATTCAAAAGCGCCACAATTATTCAACTGAGAATATGTGCAATAGGAGTGATTCAACACCTGTCCACCCAAACATCTGGAAAATTCTATTACCCCTGCGACAAACAGTAAGGAAAGAACAGGACTGTGAAAATCAAGTTTTAAAGTTGTGTGGTTACAATTGATGATAACATGATTATGAATAAACAGTAATAAATTATGTTAGAAACTTTGTCATCCAGTAATTAATACTGATTCACTTTGTGATTTATCCAAAATTACATACTACTACAGTTCCCAAGTTCTACGCATACCTTAAACTATTTTATTCCTGTATTTCCATCATTTCTATTCACTAACAAACTAAAATTATCACTCAAAAAGTGTACTAAAGTAGTAGTAGTAGTGAGCAAATGGTCAGTATTCAGATATCAATATTTGAATTAGGTAAGTAAAACTTAGACTTATTAGATAGATTTAACTGGCTAAACACACACACACAGTGATGTGGTGTCAATCACTGCAATGCATTCACTTGCGTGTAATTCCACGATGGGATAGGATGTGGTGCTGTGGCTCATTGGTGGTCTAAGCGCTAGACCTCTAACCAGCAGGTCACGGGTTGAAACCCTGCTGTACGAACCAAGGTCTTACTAGCCTTGGATAATGATAACCACGCCCCCCCCCCAACACAATAGGTGTATATCATTGTTAACTTCATGGAATCGCAAGTGGCTGGATCATCACAGAGTTAAAGTATTAAAAGGTAATATAATTAGGTAGATAGAGAGAGAGGGAGAGAGAAGAGTTGATTACCGAATCTTTCTTTATCCAATCAACACCAAACACGAGCAATAGAAATGCTGCAAGGGCTATACCGGATATATAGAAAATCGGTATTAGATGGCTGGATGCAATCGGCCACAGGAAGCCCAACCTGACCTAGGTTTCGTGCTAGTAGGCAGTCGTCAGCAAAGCGTACCTGCAAATTCGAAGGAACTCATGTCCCTCCTGAGATTCGAACCTGCATCATCCAGTGCTGCAGTCAGAGACTTTAGCACTGAGCTATTAGGGCTCACGATTGACCTTCTGTACGACTGTATTGGATATTTTTGACTGGACACTAGTCAGTAACTAGTACAATGTATTTATTCCTATCTTTGGTGCAGACTGAATTCTATCAGTCAAGTTTGCAATGTGGCCGTCATGCTAAGTGGCTCGCCATCACGGTGCACTGTGAATTGTTGGTGTTAGATGGGCTATTCGGGTTTCGTGCCAACTAGTAATTAAATCAACCAGCTCACAGAACACAAAATTCTACTACAGTCCCGAAATTCCACTACAAGAATGAAATGAACATTGAAGATTTAACTAAATTTAAATTTTTTAAAATGCAAATACTCACTTTTAATCGCCATATTTGCAACGAACTATATATAAACTACTGATTTGGTGATGTGAGTAGTTGCACACACACCACCCACATCAACCAGTAGTGTTTGCTAGAGCCAGCTAAATCAAAGCGATCTAAACACCGAAGGAGGCGCCTATTTCGCTCGTTCAATGCCGAACTATTTCAGCGCTATACCCTGGGGCTTGTCTCAGCTCAGACACAGCTGAATCAATTCGAACCACTCGATTTCTGCTTAACTGCTACTTGAGGTGGACTGGTTGGTGTGAGTGGTAATATACAACTACTACTTATTTCAGTCTTTCAATGAGTAGTATGTAGTTCGATACAAAAAAATACTTGCTTTCTTGACTACCCATTTATGGTATCAAGTACATCACACATTTGTTACAAAGTTAATAACGGATTGACATGAGTTAGAGAATCATTGAAAACCAGGCAGTACTGGATGCCAGTTTCGTCCTATTTTGAGATTCTTCGGCGGTACGCACCCATCGGGGTGCGAACCCAGGACTGTCCGGTTTACATATACATATATACATAAACCACCAGCTATTTGATCAGCGTCGCAGTCGCTGAATGGTCTACAAGTTTGCCTTATGACCAGAAGGTCCCAAGGTTAGACCATCAGTGGGTGCGTACTGTCCAAGAGTCCCAAACTAGGATGAAACAATTGTACAGTACTCCGTGTTGGTTTCCAATGCCTCCCTAACACTCACACGTTATCAATCTATAATCCATTTTGAATGAATAATTTTAGTTTCTGAAGGGAACTATGGAGGAAAATTACAAATTACCCTTTCTAAATTTCAATAAAATAGACATGAAATGCATTAAAAGTAACAGTAATGATAACAACAACAACATTCAAAGCCAGAACACAGTCACTATCACCATCAAACTGATGAAGAACAGAAAAGAGGGGAAAAGTGAAAAAAAACAGGCGATAGATACAAAACAGATTTATTTACAAGACTTAAATTGTGTGTGTGTATGTGTGTAATATGCATGTGAATGAGTAAGTGGGTGAGTGAATGAGGACGTGTTTCTGCTCAATATGTTCCATTGAATTGAAAAAATAAAATAAAATAGCAACACATTATAATAACAATATTAACACAACAATAAACATTGGATGGATAACCGCAATGAGAAAAAGAAACATTTAAACTATACAATTTCATTTTTCCAAAAAAATAATTAATAAATAAATAAATGACTACATGAGGGACAGGATGGAGAGATGATACAAAGATGGACGGAGATATACAACATATAAATGAATCAACAATATCTTATATTATGTACAAATATACACAAACAGAACAAACAGCTAAAATTTAAGAGAAGGGATTTTTAACAAAATGAACTGTTATTATTATTATCAATATTAATATTATTATTATCTCACACATCTCTGGATTGTTTTTCAAAAAAAAATCTTATTAAGAGTGAAAATATCTCTCATTAATTTCACATCACTAAGTAATAGATTGAAAAGTAATGACAAAACAGATCAGACAGGATGAATGAGGCGAGTACAGAAATTTCAATTTAGGCGGACAATCCAACTTGACAACTGACTGTAGGTATGTTTGTATGTATGCATATAGTATATATTTTTGTAGAAGGATTAAAACAATTCACAATCCAATTGGTATCACTGTGATTGTTTGTTGTGTTGGTGTTTTTCTCTCTCTCTGTAAGAATACACTTACTGTACATATCCAAGGCAAACAACTTTGAAGACAACAAAAAATAGTAGCAAAAGTATCAGTATCAGTAATATACATTATTATTATAATTGTATGAAGTAAAAATATTCATAATATGCTATATTATGATCAATGATAGGGATAAAAGTGATCCAGGAAGAGATGAAGATTAGTCAATAAATTGATTATACACACATTACTCAAAATAATAATAATAACAATAAATGATGAGATCCCTCGCGAGGACTACAGAAAAGAGAGAGATAGCAGCTGTGATAAGACAATAATTTCTAATGTACATTACTTTGAACAGGTGGTAGATTTACAAGATTTTCAGGTGTATCAGTACGATAACACTTGACTTTTTCATACTTTCCAGTTGAATAATCCATAGTTAGATAAGTGTCTACAGCTAAATCCATTAGCTGGCCAGTACTCTGGTTGAGAACACGTTCGCGATATTCACTAAGACGGATACGAGTTATTTGACCAGTTTCTGGACGTGGATTGTCTAAAAATAGATTTTTTTCGAAAATTTAAATAAAAATACATAAATGAAAATATAAATATAAAAGTACATATATATATATATTGGTGTTGCAGAGGTTGAAATGCTAGCCAACCATGCCTTACGTGATTCGGGGTTCCCACTTGTCCGACGCACTCCTGAGTCTCACTTGCGCGGTTAGTAGTAAACCCAGCAAAAAGGGAAAATCTGAGCTTTAGACTAGCACAACCCCACCCCGTGAAAATAAAACCAGCTCAGGCCTGAAGATCTAGATCCCACTGGGAAAACAAAAGAATAATTTCTACATTTATATGGCGATCGGTGTTATTAGATGGTTGGAGGCAATCGGCAGGAAGCCTAGCTTGACCTGGGTTTCGTACTTGTTGGCACTCATCAGCTCAGTAGTAACGTTTCTAACTGTAGCACTGGGCGACGTGGGTTCAAGACTGCAGATACGTCTTGATGACGATTGCCAACAAGCACAAAACCTAGGTCCAAGGTCCAAAAATCCTGAATGTACCATCATGATGTCAAGGCACCTAGCATGGCAGCCACATTACAAACTTGACCGGTAGAATTCAGTCTGCAGTAAACAAAGAACTAGACACATGTGACATGTGGCGAATTAACAAAAGCTAGAATTGACGGGTCATTAAATTCCGTCCCAGCGGCTGAACAGTAAATGAGCTCGCCGTGTAACCTGGAAGTTTTGGGTTCAATCCCTAGCAGTGGGGTCATGGGCGCGTGTCACTGAAGAGTCACAGGCAAGGACGAAACGGCTCTTCAGTACTCCCTATTGGTTTCTAATGCTTTTGTCTAAGTAAGGTGAATTCGCGAACAATCTTTAAATCAATCACATCCCTGTAGGCGAAAGACATTTTTGTAAGATTGACATACTAATCCGTCATTTTACAAAATATTTAACACCATTTATTTACAGATATAATTTACAATAATCCTAAGCGGTTAAAATCAGCTAAAACAGACTTAGACCGGTTTAAACCAGTTTAAACAAATAAAACCATTGGGCTAAGGGAGAATATAATATTATAATCCGATTGGCATTCCAACGTATGTAATATTTGTATAAAATGTATTTTGTAAAATAAAATTGAATTGTTTTCAGTAGTGCAGACCACTCTGTCTTCTATCTTCATTTTCGTGGGCTGTGTGAGTCAAAAGTAGTTAGTTGGTGATGAGTACCAGTGTTGAACCCACCACATATGGACATCATCACTACCGAGAAATCACAAAAACATCCACCTCTCTACACGTGTTATCGGTTAGCTACAATGCAGTTATTTCTATTAAAACAGTAATTGGATGAGAATTTCCCTCTTTCAAGTTGGATAACGAACTGACTTTAATTAGGGAACCATAGAAAACTAAGGAACTTGAGGTAACTTTATCCTGTTGTCAGTTATTAGTCAGCACCAGATTGATTGTGCGTCGGTGGTATGGCGGTTAGGACACTCTCCGACCATGCACATGGTCCGGGGTTCGAACCCGTGCCGACGCACACCTTTACCTCGCTAAGCCAGAAATAATGCTGGTGAAGAGGAAAGGTTAGGCATGAGGCTAGCAACCCCATCCTGTAAATAAACACTGCTACGGAAACTTCGAGCCACTAGCTTGAAGCCCTATGTTCCATTGGGGAACGTGAAGGATAAAAAAAACAAAAAAAAGTTTTACCATATAAGGAGGTGACATCTGAGACCTTACGTAGGATTCTCAATAAAGCAGGAATTAGGGTGGCATTCAAGCCTACAAACTCACTCAGGGACAAGCTCTGTAGACTAAAGGACCCGGTGGACCCAATTAAACAAAATAATATAATTTACAAAACACCTTGCAATGACTGTGAGGTCAACTACATGGGTCAAACCAGTAGGTCGGGGATAGTCAGATTGTCGGAACACTAGAATTTAGCTAAGAATGGTTGACCCCGAGAAGATAAGTAATCTAGAAAAAAGCTCAGCAATTGCACCGCATGCATTAACACACAATCACACAATAGAGTGGGTGAGACAGAGTCAAAATTCTAAAAAGTAATAAAGGTTGGTGGAGAGAGGTTGATTACTGAATCCTTGTTCATCGAGTCTGCACCCAACACATGCAATAAGAATGACTCATCGCCAATACGAGAGATATGGAAAATATTACTACCAATCATATCAAGTGACGGAAAATAATGGAATTATATCAACGAAGTTAGAAAGTTGTGTGATTACCTTGATATGATTATGAGCAATAAATTGTGCTCGAAGCTTGGTCATCAGCAAATATTACTGTATAACACTGAGACTTTACCAAAATAAATGGCCAGCGAACTCGCCTTGTCTTGGGTTCAATCCCTAGAAGTGGGATCATGGGCACATAACGCTGTAAAATCCCAGACGGGAACGAAACGCCCATCTAGTACACCTTGGTCTTTAATGATTCTCTGAAACTAGTAAATTTACTCCTTCATGAAGTAAAACACTTATATGCTCAAGTGGAATACACAACACAATGATTTCGGCAATTAGACAAAAGAATCCTAACACTAATTTTTGGTTAGTGGTGACTGACAGTGGAATCTATTTCGTCAGCTGGATGCATCTGCATTCCCACTGAGACTCGAACCAAACACCTGTCGTTTCAAACACCACAGCATTATCCACTAGGCCACGACGACAGCCAGTTGTTATGCAATGGATATCACCTACTGTTTGTGTTCTCAGGTTAACTTCACATTTCCGCTTGATTGATTATATCGTACCGAAATGTTCGGTCTCTGTTGACACATCGGCGCCTAGTACGGACGCTTCCACAATCTCTGAGGATTAACGTGAAGTTATTTTCGGTATGAAAAGAGACAGGAGAAACATTGGTGCAGTAAGCGCTTTTGTAATCTTCTCTGTAGAATATGTCGTATATTTCTTGTGGTTGTCAATCTTGAATTTCGACACGTCGTTGAAAGAATGGACTCCATTTTCTCGATGCAGTCATATCTGTTAACTATGATGCCTGAACCTTTATCCATTCGTAATATGACAATGTTCTGATTGCTTGTCAGACGTCTTACTGCTGCTTGATGTTCTTTAGACAAGATTCTACATTATGGAATTGCCGAAGAAAGGCACTGATTGGAAAAATCAATTAGTTTCGATTTAAACCAACTTTGCGTATCATCATTGATGAGATGTAAGACGGTTAACTGGTTGAAAAGGTTTTCTTCGTCACATGGAACTTGAATCCGAGCAAGAGTGCTTCCTCCAATCTCAGTACGATTTAGTCTCACACTTGATAGATTAATATGATATTGTTCAAGGCTTTCAGGAAAGCCTTAATTTTCATTGGTGGTGAGCGTGATAACTCCCAAACAAGATGAAACGCACATCCTGGATTCTACTGCTAGTCGAAGCGTCCGTACTAGGAGGCGAAATGTCAAACAGTAAATCGAGCACATTTCACCCCACCCACCCACCTACCCCCCAATAATATCATTTAACAAGGTTCTCTCAAAAATGTACCTTATGTCTAAATGACACCGAGTGAATTATTGAATATATAACCAACAATAGTTTTTAAAAAAAAACAACCCTAAAGTGAAACATACCTCGTGAACCAGCAATGAAGGAAATAATCATCGCTTTTTCAGGTCGGGTAACACGATTTGCATCTTGAAATAAGCTTTGAACAACACTCAATTGTGATTCAGTTAAGCACAAATCATCTTGAATTTTGACAGATGATAAGTTTGTAGTAGAAGCACTACCACTAGTACTAGTACTGCTAGTACTACTACTGACGACAATATTACCAGTAACAATAGGCGTTGAAGGCGGTTGAGAAGATTGTACAACGTCTCCTCCTCCTCCTCCTCCTACTCCTGCTCCTCCTCCGTGTGAAACTATAACACCTGAAGTAAGTTGATTTGAATTATAATTTGAAAGACTGGTTATAATAGATGCAGGAGCTATGGTACATGGATTTGATACATTATTGTTATTATTATTAATAATGTTGTTATAGGCATTCGATACTATAACTTGACGGGTGGTAGGAGTAATTTGCGTTGATGATGATGATGATGTTGACGATGATGATGTCAAATCTGTGGAATCCATAGGAACTTTGCTTGGATTCAATGGTTTCAATACAGCTACACTGGTTGGTCTGGCTTGAGTTGTAGTCACTGTAGGCCGTGGTAATATTTGGACATAGGTTTGATTCGTTGGTGACTAGATTAAACAAAGCAGATAAAAAGTTACGTAATACTGGATATGAAAAAAACAAAGTAGGAACAATTGAAATTAATTAGCGCATGGGGAAACATAAAAGTCAAGCAGCTCACTACAGACTAGTTGATTAACAAAATAAACACACACAAAAAGGAACCAAGAGGAGAATAATGATGGAACACAACCAAGAGATACGCTACACACAAGATCTCATAGTTTGTGAGAGGGCTAGGATACTGCCCAGACGATCAAACCGAATCAGATGGTTGTCTTAAGAGGTCACCTGCGTCCCGAGCCTTTTACCTGAAGTCTGATCCATAAGTCTGTGGTGCAGAGCTATGGAGTTATGTTCTCATGGTTTAATCCATTCAGATTCTGGAGTATATGTACACTCCTGGTTTTAGGATCAGGGTTCTACAGCTCCCCTGGATAGACCTAGATGTCCATCAGTCCGATTATAAGCGACAGACGTTTGTATTCATCTTTTTTTCACTTTTGTGAGGAACACCCCCTGCCTATCGCATGAATGCAGTGAGTAGGACTTACATGGCAGAGGTGGGCTATGAACGCGTGGCCATTTGAGAGTATTTCGAGATGAGGATTGAGGTTTACTCACCCTCAGCTGTATAAGGTCATTTAAAACGATTACATTTTTACCGCTATAGCGATAATTCTACAAATAATCAAACCAAAAATCAGGATACGTTATGTGGTAGATGACATATTTGTCATAACTAGAAGAAATGACCTAGAATGCACTTACAAATTAGTCAACAAGGTGTTTGAAGAGACATTAAATTCACAGGAGAAGAAGAATCAGATAACAAAATTACTTTCTTAGATGTCTTGGTCACGAGAACAAACACAGGGAACTAACCCACACAGACTACAATACTCAGCAGCAACAACAACAGCAATAATCCAACAGCACACAAAAGAAACAGTGTACAAACTTTATTCAAAAGAGTTAAAACACACTCCAACACTCCAGTTCTGTAAAGAAGAGGAAAGATTGATTTTGAAATTCTTGGAAGAGGATTTCATTCACATAAAGAAAGATTGACCTCTGAAGCCTTGCACATTTTAACCACATCGAATGCAGTGAATAGGAAAGAAGGGATAGACTTATCACCTCTATATGGCAAACTCTAATGGAGCAAGAACAAACACTCTCTGAGCCTCCATGACCTTTTAAAAGAATGTATTATCATGTTTATCACATGTAAATTGATGTCTTTCCATATGACAAATGACATACATACACACACACTCATAAACTTTACAAATCTTTACAAATCAACTATAGATTAATATATACAACATCAATTTAACATTAGTCATTACAAATATATGTGATGACTGCTTACATATTTCTATTGGTACAAATGTCCATGGACAAAAAATGATCTTCAAATAAACTAACTTCAATTTATGTAAAAAAAATTTTGACTATATATTTTGATGATTAATAAAAATCCGAATAAATCTGCTGAAGAAGCTGTGGCTTACACAGCGAAACGTTCAGAAAACAGATCTTGTTTTGATTTTCTTAACACGCTGGGATTAATTTAAATAATTTATAATGGAGGAAAGATTATATATTTATCAACTGTCTTCAAGTAAAATGGTTACCGTCACAAAAATGTCTAAACTCGAATCAAACTACCAGCGAGAGGAAATCTTGAAAAACCACAAGCAAATTCATCCTATAATATGTAAAGAATATTTCTGAAATAATGACCAGAATACTGGAACCATTAGAAAGAGATGTAGCACACAAGTCGCACACACACGAAAAACATAATCACTACATTCAATAGTATGCTGACCAAAAGACCCAACAGAAAAAGAAGACAAGACACCATTACCATCTACAAAATAAATTCCATGAATTGTGATAAACACTCTATGTTGGTCAAAGGAGGCGGCGGCGTCTCCTTCGACTCCGAATCCAAGAACATAAAAACTGGCTTCGAAAAGACACAACATGTATTCTTTCATGTTGTCAATGGATGCAGACAACTGTAGACATCAATTTGACTGGGAAAATGTAGGAGAATTTTAAAAAAGTGGAAAGGCTAAACATGCTAGAGAATTCCTAGAAGCCTGGTACACATAGGAATCAGAGATCAATAGGCGCTAATGTAGATCAAATTTATCAACTGATAAAGAATAACTGTCGATAGTAGGCCGTAAAATATTATTCTCCAAACTAGCCAAGAAGCAGTCAGCAAGTAAAGGACCCAATGGTGATCTGCCGAAAGTGCACAAAGAGAACGTGCCACTACGTCCAATCTTGGACATGACAAATTCCCCTTATCATGCTACTGCCAAATGGCTCACAGATATCCTCCTATCTATCAGAAACAACCTCTGCAAGCATAGTGTTTCGGATTCGTTTGAATTCGTCGACTCAATAAATGATGCTAAGGTATCTGGGAAGAAAATGATATCCATGGATGTTACTTCGCTTTTCACCAACGTTCCCCTCACTGAAACTATCTGCTTTATATGCAAATTCATTGAGGATAATAATGTAGACGTATGTGTTCCGATCCACTACTTAAAGGAACTACTATTGAGGTGCACTCTAAATGTCCAGTTCAAGTTCAATAACACGTTTTATAGACAAAGAGATGGAGTGGCAATGGGGTCACCATTGGGTCCTTTACTTGCTGACTGCTTCTTGGCTAGTTTGGATAATAATATTTTACGGCCTACTATCGACAGTTTCCATCTGTACCAAAGATACATGGATGATACTTTCATCATATGTGACGACAATACCGACATCGAATTGATAACTAAAGAGTGATAAAGAATAAGCCACACGAAACAAAGGATCAAATTCCCAGTCAATAAAAATGATCAATACTGATGCAAATTAACAACCAATCACGACAACATATCCAATCATATCATCCATGGAGAATCCAAACAGGTTTACTTCAAACTGAAGTTTGCGTTGAATATGCCTATTTGGAAATTTACAGGAAAAAATCACATCCTCGTTCCAAAGAACAATCAGCAACCAGAATGGCAAATTTACAGTGGAGAAAAATCACTGGATTGTATACGGAAGCGTGGACTTATGGATTATATTACTAAATTTGTGGCTAACGGATCAAACTCTACCACACACACACCGTCCTCACTAACTGTGTGCTCCATTCAAGTAATCTTTTATTATTTTGATTTCGTTTGATGATATTGCATATCCGTACTGGGCCTATCAAATATGCGTTTACCACAAATTTATTGATAAACCAGCCTCCAATTCATCATCACATAACCTGTATTACTTGCATATCTCCTCCGCTCTCTATCTACATACTCTGTAAATAATAAACGCTTGGACTTTTAGGCATTCGAATTTGATATCGATTGATTACTGAACCAAGAGTATGCTTGCTATACAATGTTGTAACATAACGAGAAAAAAAACTATGTCTAACCAAACACGTGATTTACAAGGGATAATAGTATTCTCACTAGCAGCACTAAGTGACGTTAGAACTAGTTTGTATTGATTTATTTATTTATAAGTTGTGTAGATGATAAAGTCTAAGAAGATATACTACTACTGTGTCGACACGTGAACTAACGAAACGATGAGGAATGCCATAAAATAACGGTAGTATTGATCAATGTAACCAGTTGAAAACTAAGCTCTGTCCAGTACTCCCTGAATTTTGATCGTTCTCTAAAATATGGTGTCAGTCACTAATAAACGCTACCTATTATGCAATAAAATGTATCTGATGAACACTGGTACGGTTAGCACTAACATGTATGACCAAGTTAAACTTTAAGCACCACTAACTACCAATCAGCGAACGACCTCAAATCGTCCAATGAGGTTCATGCACGTGAGTTCAACGTTGTATGGCGCCTAATTCGTATCAAATGCGTGCTCTAATGAACTTACGCTTGCAGTATTGCCTGGATTTTGGGTTGCTTACGAAGGAGAGGATTTGTTCATGTGGTGGTGTCATGAGTTTAAAAAGCTTTAGCACGTCGATTGATGGATATGTCCATCGTTGTGCAATCTGCTTGAGACGAGTTAGTATTAGGGAAGGTAAGCTGATAATTTTAATATTTTGTAGGAACACTTTTTGCTAGGTCGCACCAATGAAGGGCGTGAGTCGGTGATTGACAGGTAGAATACTTGCCAACAACGCCTCACGACTCAGGGATTGACTTGCTACCAGGGAATAATCTCGTTGACGTAGAATATGCAGATGATATAGTACTTCTAGGTGAAGACGCTGACAAAATACAGAGTTTTCTGAACACCATGAGCAGCAATCTTCGAATGTCTGGAAAGCGACTAGCTCCCGTCAAATGTAAGATGATGCTACAGTACTGAACTGCATTGACTCCTAACTTAGAGATACGGAGTGAAGTAGTAGAGCGTGTTGACGACTTCACTTATTTGGTGAGTTGCATCAACTAACGCCATCGGGTTGACTGCGGACGAAATCTCAACACGAATACAGAAAGCTTGTTTGGCATAATTATTTTTATTTTTTTATTTATTTTTGATTATAGCTTAAAACCATATAGTATTTTTGGTGCAAGTATGGAATTTTCAGCATGTGATATCGGTAGCCCAAATTTTGCAGGCCGACCATTGATAACAGGTGTGCGCCGGCAGGAGATCGAACCCCGGACCATGTGCATGGTCGGCAAGAGTCCCAACCGCTGTGCCACCGACGCAGATAAGATAAGCTTTGTTTATATTTAAAGGGAGGACCGTGAGGCCTTCCCACTGACAAAAACTACACGCCTGAGCGCACCTGATTAGGGTCCATCGCAAGTTTCAACCCACCGAGGTGCAATGGTGAGCCTCCACCCACGGTCACAGCATTCTTGAGCACCCTGGACCCGGCGCCACGTAAGTTTGCCAACTTACGCAGTCTCTGGCATAGACGTGATATCCGCCTGGCTATCAACCAGCAGTTCACTCTCTCCTCCTTTATGACTGTGATACATGGCCATTGGAAGTGGAAGATACGAAAAGGTTGGCTAGCTGTTTTTGGTCATAGGTGTCTGCGTCCTATCTCTCGTGTGTGATAGATCGTATAATAGGATAAGTAATATAGAGGTGAGCTATCGGTAAGGAGGGGAAATCAATCAACAAAGTTGTCAAGTGACACCTATTGAACATGTGTTACGCGTGCCTGGCCATCGCCTTCCTCGACGGGCAATGTTGGCTGACATAGGATCAGGTTGGAAACAGCCACTGGTGGTCAAACGGAAACATGGCTTCATCAGTCAGTGAAATACACGACAGTTAGTTTAAGCCAACCACGTAGGAAGGTACAGACTTCCTGGTTGGGATCCTCAGGACGGTAAGAACTAATGGCTGCAGACAGTCGGTGAAATGGCTTAAAATCGTTCTCAGTGACAGCACAGACACACTTACTATTCATGATTTGTAATACCCGACAAAATTATATTGTTCTTCCATACTACTATTCGTTTTGCCTCGTATCTTTGCTTATTATCTTCCATTACTCTCTTCTCTTGCTTTGTGTGCTAAATGGGGTGTGGCAACTCGAACTGAAGCACAATCTATGCAAAGTCCTACGTCGAAACAAGTCAGTCAGTCCCGCCTCACGTGGTCAGGAATTCACGGTGACAGCAAAGAATAGACACCACAGCCAAATGGCCCTGAACCAACCCTTTAGATCATAATCTTCGTTACAGGTTTCACTCCAACCCTAATCAAATACAATCCTACAGGAGGTCAATCGCGAGCCCGAATAGCTCAGTGGTAAAGTCTCTGAGTGCAGCACTGGGTGATGCAGGTCCGAACCTCAGAAGGGACATGAGTACCTTCAAGGTTGCAGATATGCCTTGCTGACGACTGTCAACTAGCACCAAACCCAGGTCAGAGTGGTGTCTTCTAGTCGATTGCCTCCAACCATCCAATATCAATCCTAATCTTCGTTGCAAGTTTCACCCCACTTTAATCCTACCACAACCTTAACCCTGAGTCAGGATGAAACTTACGACAAAGATTAGGAGAAGCGTCCATTTGTAATACTGAGCGATCTGATTGGTTGGCGCTCAAGGTCTATTCTTTACTGTTGCAGGGGTTTCGATCCCCCGGCTAACGACGCACTCCTAAACCTCACTCCTTAGCCCTGGTAAAGAGGGAAAATTGGGTGTGAGGCTGACAACCCCAGTACTACTAGAAATTTCAAAGTTGTAGCTTGAAATCCTATGTTCTACTCGGAACGCAAGGGAGTAAACATTTAAAAAGTATAGGAAGAGTAACAATACAACTTCATAAAAAATAACAAAGACTTTATGACAGAAGAGACTAATTTAACAAACATCACTAAATATGCACACTGTCATGGTCATGATAATGATTTCATTTAGAATATATTATATATAAATTTTTAATTATCAACCCACTTGTACTGTTGGTCTCGACGCTACCACACTAATCCGTTGGACTGGTTGAGGTCGTAAAGCTGGAACAGCTGGTGGTGATGTTAAACGAGTTGCAGGCGACGCAAATACTATAGGTCTTCCATCAATTACAATTGTAGAGTTCGATGGTCTTATGACACCAACAGATGCTACTTGTTGTTGTTGTTGTTGCTGCTGCTGCTGCTGTTGTTGTGCAGGATACGCCGGTGTTGATAGGTACATTCGATTAGCAGCACCTGGTGAACTCAAAATTGGTTGAGTAGTGACTGTATTTTCAAACATACTATTAGCTGATGTTAACTGGATTATACGCGGTGGACGAGGAGCAATACACACCAATGAACCAGTTGTAGTATCCGAACGAGGACGTATAGGTTGGACAGGACTATTGATAACTTTAACTGGGGACTGAAATAAAAACGAAGTCAAATTAAGGGAATAGCATATTCATATAATATATATCAAGAGTTGAAAGTTTTTTTGAAAATAAATTTAAATGAAGTGCTCAGAAGCTAAATATTATGCAATAATACTATTTCCCAATCTCCGTGTATTTTTATTCCTTTACGTTCCCAGTGGAACATAGGGCTTCAAGCTAGAGTCTTGAAGTTTCTGTAGCAGTGGTGATTATTTTTACAGGATAGGGTTGCTAGCCTCATGCCCAACCTTCCCTCTTTACCAGTCTTATTACTGGCTTAGCGAGGTAAAGGAGTGCGTTGTCGGTCAGGAATCGAACTCCGGACCATATGGGGCATGGTCGGCGAGCACGCTACCGCTGTGCCACCGACGCACAATCTCTGTGTAGTCACATTACAACTAACATGGTTGGTAATAATAAAATATTAGACACTATTGTGGTGAGAGCCGTCTACAAGCCAAAATTGTATGCAACAATTAACATCAGTGTTTACGTCTCGAATTGGGGTCAGGAGAGAAAACAAGAACAAAACCTAACCTCAATGAACTAACCAACCAATCACAGCAGACATAACGTGTGCAAGTACGATTCGCAGATATATCAACGGACTAAGAAACGGCCACAAAGAGACGACAGAATAACCTTCAGCAGGAAAACAACCAATCAGAAGACGTTGCTTCTCTGCTAACAATAACGAATAATAATGTACATAAAAATCTATAAATGTCTGTTGCCTGGCCCTTATCTTCCGTCGTTACACTATTATTATTATTAATTATTATTATTATTACTATACGAGATAAATAAGACACTAATAACCAATCACTGCTTAATCGACCAAATAATCCAGGATAGACAAAGGTTGAAGTCCATTAATAATTTATTTGTGGAGCACGGACATTAAAAGTCAAGATATATGAAAGGGCCTGTTGTCTTCGACCATAAATGTCTGCGTTCTATCTACCGAGTTAAGTGGCACAATTTGGTGAGCAATATTGAGATTTCGCGTAGAGTGCTACGTAAGGAAGGCTAGCCAATCGATGAGGTTACCAAGCTACATCGATTGAGATGGCTAGGACACGTGGTATGCACGCCAAACAACCACCTTCCTCATCCAACAATGTTAGCTGATACAAAGTTGGGTTGGAAAAGAGTTAGGGGTGATCAAAACAAAACCCACCATCAGTCCATGAAGTCTTTGAGAGTTTGTTCAAGCCATGTAGGGAAGTGTAGACCACCAGGTTTTTTGTTTTCCTTCACGTTCCCTAGTGGAACATAGGGCTTCAAGCTAGTGGCTTGAAATTTCTGTATCAGTGTTTATTTTATAGGATGGGGTTGCTAGCCTCATGCCCAACCTTTCCTCTTTAGCACCATTATTTCTGGCTCAACGAGGTAAAGGAGTGCGTCGGCCGGGAATCGAACCCCAGACCATGTGCATGGTCGGCGAGCCTCCTATACCACCAACGCACCACCACCACCAGGTAAGCGTTCTCGGAATATTAACAACCAATGAATTAAGACTGCTGGTGATTTCCAAATGACTCAAAATCATTCTCAATAGGAAAGAATTATTCACTCCATATTCACTACCATAACCATTAAACTCCTGAGTGTTTCCATGTTACTATTCTTCCTCCCTCACATTTCTGTTCGTTATAGTACTTTTGAATTTCTTTTCTCTCTCTCTTTTCACTACCTTTGTATGCTGTACAGTTGTTCAACATTGGAACTCAGTTAATTATGAACAGTTCCAGCTATTTCGTCAGATATAATTGTACATAATTTATGTAAATGCCGTACAAAAAAATACGCTCTTGCACAACAATCATGAACAATCAGGAAATATCTTTATTTATATAATTCTAAGTGTGAAGAACTGTGATCAGTCGTGATAACCACTACAGAACTTGACATGTGAATTTCGATTTCCGAAGTATATCCCAGGAAAAAACTCCACATCAAGAGCTAATGTTTCTGATAAATTATTATTATTTCCTTAGGTTCCCAGAGGAATGTAGGGGCCTCGGCAGTATTTCTCCACCTCATCCTGTTCACTGCAGTCGTCTTTATTTTATTTTTTTATTACAGCTTGATTCCACACCGTATTTTTTGTACAAGTATGGAATTTTCAGCATGCGATATCGGTAGCCCAATTTTTGCAGACCAACCATTGATATCAGGTGTGCGTCGGCAGGGGATCGAACCCCGGATCATGAGCATAGTCGGCGAGTCCTAACCTCTGTGCCACCGACGCACAGCTGGCTTCACGAATGCCCATAAGCTTTCATCTCCTCCTACACACTATCTCCTTTGTGTCACAACTCCAAACGCCCAACTCGTTCACCATTCAGGTTCCACTTGAGGGCCTGGTGCGCGACGTCACCCAGAGATTTCCTCGGCATATTTGTTTGGCCATAAGTTGTTGGTTGGTTCGTTCTCAGAGTTCCTTGTTGCTAGTGCTTTCTAGCCATCCAGATCTTCAGTACGGAGGTGACTATAACTTAAAGATTGATTCTAAGCAAAAGTGTTGTATGCTGTTAGAATCAGCAGATGACAGAGACTGAAAGATCAATGTCAGAGAGTAGCCACTTTGATCATTTCCTTACTTTATTCACATTTATAAAGACAACGAATTATTTTTAACCCAACCAACGGGAGAATCGAAATTGAGTCAAAAACAAATAATAACTGACACCCATTGCACAAAAGGTGGCTCTCGGGACCCAAGTAGTCCAGTGGATAACGCTTTGGCGTTTGAAATGATGGGTACTGGCTGCGTTCGAGCCTCAGTGGGAACACCACGACTCACTGAGGAATGCAGGTACACCCGGCTGACGAGTCCTAAATAAATAGGATGAAATGTGCATCGTGGATTTCACTGCAAGTCACCATCACCCAAATATATATAAATGTATACTTACCGATTCAGAAGGGATAGATACTAATCTCTGAGGTGATAACATTTGCGTACCAGATGTAGATACAGGATACGTTGGTGATTCTGATGACATTGCAAGATTTTCATGTGACGCATGAGCTATATTTTCGTTTAACTTATCAGTATTCGACGGATTTCCCGATTGCATAATAACATTCGGTGTAGGCTTAGAAGTATTTTGATCCATTAAACAAATTATTCGAACTGGTGTGTCAGATGAAGGCGCGTTCACAACTTTGATAATCCCGCCTGTAGTAGTAGTTGATTGCGATACATTGGGTCGAATTAGTCTGATATGATTTACAGGCGCCGGTGCGATAGACACAGTACTCGAAGAGGAATGAGATACAGAAGGGTTACTGAAAGGAAGGTATTGAACATGCTGAGCCTGTTGGAAACTGGAGACCGGCAGCTTGTCAGTTGACTCTGATTGATTACTACTTAAGGTGTAGACACCAGCTTGTGAAGCAGCAGGAACAGAACACTGAAATGTTCTAGCAGACGAAGAAGCAGAAATAGCAGCAGCAGGGTTGTAAACCAGACATATTGACACCAAAAGATTGTTTAAAACTACTACAAAGTAAAGAACATTAAAATTAGACAAGATATGTCGGTGCCTCAGGAAAAGTAGTAGAACAGTCACAAGAAATCAAGCCAAGTTACATTTACAATTACTATATAGTAAGGATACTTTAACGTTTCTCTGTTTAACTAATAGTTGTTTTATTTTATTCATGACAGGATTTAAACACCAAATTTGTTAATACACAACTCGTATAACAACTTATGCGTACTCTGATTATATTTATGATAAATATATATATTCAGGGGTACTTGATGGCGGCTGTTGAACTTTGTCGTCAATTCTTCTTATTATAACCTTTTTATGAAGCAAACATGCGACAAGTAATTACAGAACCCTACAGATAATCTTCTTAACATGCAATAACAATTAAAAAATGCAAAACATTTACATGTTACATTTGCATAATTGCTAAGAAGACAATCTAGACCTTCAATTTACAGCTGACATAATCAAGTCTATTGATACACTCGGTTCCCTTGATAAATTTCGGTAAATCAAGACCATCTAGTCCAAACCGGCCGGCCACAAAGCCAGCATTGAAGAATCCTTGTCTATCATCTACCGGGTACCAAATAAATTGCCAAAAACATCCAGGTACCGCATACTCCAAACAGCAGAGGCTATCGGGATTCACCTGAAAAAACCGGTGCTTTGTGTGCAAAAGAAGCAAGTCCAGCTAGCCACTACTACTGCCCTGGCCGGTTTCAGTGGAGACTATAAATTCATGAATTTGTATTATTATCTTCCCTAATTTCTCTGTCTGATATTCAGTGTATGGTTATGTTGATGCTATCGAACTGAAATCCATTGATACCATTATTATTGATTCGATGTTATTTAAACAACAGTAATGTTGTTAATAACACTAATTCATTCACTATAATGTATATATAACTGTATAACCCGCTGATGAAGTTATCGAAAAGAATATTCTTTGTTCAGTAACCATTCTTTTGAAAAAACTAAGACCAAACCTGCAGTACTAAAATGATATCGTCCTATTTCACAGGTTCTCATCAGCTGCAAACTACTTGAATTTACAGTGGCTATGAAAAAGAATGATAATAACATACTTCAATGTTTGAATGGTAGTAGAGGAAATATTATAAAACAACTGACACATCCGAAATGTAAGCATTACAATTTTTAGATGGAATTACCATCAATTTATGTGCTTTCAAAGTAGTAAAGGAGGTGGGGAGACTGCCTGTCTGTCTGTTTTCGACATAGAACTTTGCACCAGTGTGCAGCAGTTCAAGTCGCCACACTCCATGTACCACACAAATCAAGAGAAGAAAGTAGAAGAAATGCATAATAAAGACAGTAAACAGAGGTGAGAGACAAAAGGAATAGTAATAACGAAGAACAATGTAGTTTCATTGGAAATCCTTAGTCACAAGGAGTGGATGCATCTGCACTGTCATTGAGAACGATTTTGGGTCATATCACCAATTATCTCCAGCCTTCATTGGCTTTTACCATCCCGAAGACCCCAACCAGTCAGGAAGTCTACACCTTCCTACGTGGCTGACTGGCTGGTTTAAACTAACTGTTGTGGATTCCATTGACTGATTAGGCCATGTTTTGGTTTGATCACCACTAGCTCTTTTCCAGCCTGACCCTATGTCAGCCAACATTGCCCCTGGAGTAAGGCGATGGTTAGGCATGCATAACATGTCCCAACCATCTCAGTCGATGCAGCTTCACAACCTTGTCGATTGATTTCCCCTCCTTACCTAGCACTCGACGCCAAACCTCCGTATTGTTTACCCTATTATTCCACTTCACACCGGAGATAGAACGCGGGCACCGTAGGTGGGAAGAGAAGTTTACAAAGCAACTCAAGAAGGTTATGGTTCATAAGATTGAAATTTGCTCAGTGAGCTGAAATCACTAATATGCATCACGAATCAATGCAATCAAAATCCAGTTACCAAGGGAGTCACAGATTGATCCCACTCTCCTTCTGTATGAATAAGTTTGGTTTAAAACGTCTGATTTCAATTGCTTCAGCAGATCCTAGTAAATTTGCTATCCCTTGTATATTTAATATTTTGAAGGATCTGGATATCTCGACGAAATGAGCCATATTCACAAGGTATCCGGTAATTCCAACTTGCGAACATCCACTTCCTTTTAGGCATAAGTTTCCTCGGATATGCTCTGAAAACCGGAAAGAAGCCTTCCTCTCTGTTCTTTCGATGTAATTGTGGCACCAAGAACATGCAAATGTATAAAAGGAAGTTGGAGGTGACATTAATGGGGTACTTGTCCGGTTTAGAATGGCTTATTGAGCATGTGGTGCTGTATAGTTTCAAACTTTGTAAGTTAACATTGTTTATTAGATTTTTCTGCACTCTGTCTTTACCTCTCCCCATCACCTTTTCCACTTTGAAAGCACATAAATTGATGGTAATTGTATCTAAATACTGTAATGCTTACATTTCGGATTTGTTAGTTTTTTTATGATATTTCCTCTACTACCATTCAAACATTGAAGTATGTTATTATCATTCTTTTTCATAACCACTGTAAATTCCAGTAGTTTGCAGCTGATGAGAACCTTTGAAGTAGGATGATATCATTTTAGTACTGTATATCTGGTCTTCCTTGATTTATCAAGTCTATTGACTTAATACTCCGACTAAAAACTTTGTGATACATTGAAGTTAGTGACAACGATAGATTATTCACTGTGTATCCTGTGCGGCAGCATTTCGACCCACGCCTACTTTACTCCTGTGAAACTGAAAGACATAAGAATATTGCAGCTATTTCAACCATAAGTATTTTCGTCCGACTGTTCGCTTAAGGTGGAGCACAAAATAGTAAATGGTAGTGAGATTAGGAGCAGTTAGATTTTCCTCCAATAAATCAATGAATGAGGGTACAGATTCTTCAACAACTGAGCTATCTAAGATGTATTACACAAACGCTGAACCAACGCCTTCTGCAACAAGTGAAGATGAATCTAGAAAAGTAAGACGGTCGAACCCAAACATGGGGTCAGTTCATGAAATTATTGGTGGTTGTTACTAATCACGTAAGGGAATATCAGTTACCGCGATGAGGTTCACCGGAGGGTATGAATCAATCGTTGTAATACTTTTATGAAGTCGCTGAAAATCATTCATAACGATGCAAAGTTATTCGTTTATTATTATTATTTCCTTTAATTCCTAGACGAACATAGGGCTTCAGCCGCACGTCTCCATTGCGTTAGGTTCTCTGCTAAAGTTTTCACCTGGCTCCATGTCTGCCCACACGTTTTTATCTCCTCTTCACATGACCTCCTCCAAAACACCCACCCTCGCACTGACGACCAACTCGCCGCTTCCCTTTCGGGTTCCACTCAAGAGCTTGCCTAGTGATGTCACTTGATGGTTTCCTCAGAGTATGGCCAATCTATCTCCATTTCTTCCTGCTTGTTTCACAATCGGTTCCTGGTTGATTCGCTCCAAGAGATCCCTGTTGCTGATCTTTTCTGACTGGCCATCTGATCTTGAGCGAAGTATTGAGTGAAGACAGCTGTTGATGAAAGTCTCGCATACTCATTCTTGAGGTAGCCTTACACTCCTAATCACTTATATTTTTACTTGTTTGATGTTTCGAAGTGTACTACCATGAAATAATGCATGTATGTGCAAAGCGCTATTTAAATTAGTCACTTAGTTATTATACGGAGTGTAAATCATGTTGCATGTCGTTTCCCCTAAAAAGTCACTCGTATCATAAACTTCAGTGTGTGTGTGTGTGTGTGCAAGTATAAGGATACATATAACAGGGAAAATGTTTGTTTCCTTACAACTCTCAATAATTTAAGAACTTGTATGTGTACAATTTCACTTTGAATTCCTAAACAAAACAATTAAATACAGGATAGCCAAGAAAATGAGAATGATAGAAGTTAGAATAGATGGGATGGCCACTGGATTCAGTGGCTGAATGCTCTACAAGTTCATCTTGTAACCTGAAGGGCCTGGATCCCATCCCCAGTGGTGGGTGGGTTGATCACGGACGCATACACCGATGAAGAGTCCCAAACAAGGACGAAACAGGCGTCTGTTACCCCCTACTGATTAGTTTTTTAATAGTTCTGTAAATGATATCAATTTGTGATCGAAATTGTAAAATAAAAAAAAGTGGAATTGATCAAATAGTAGAATACGTTTAATACAAGTGAAACTTACAAGTTGTTAGTAAATCCTATTGCGCATGACGTTCCAGATTCAGCATTCTGCATCATATCATAATCGTCATCATCATCATCGTCTTCTTCTTCTTCATCATCTGCATATTCAACATAATTACCAGAGGCTGACAAAAGTGGATGATGAATCACAGGTTTCAAGTCAGTATTGATTTTTGGAGATATAAGACGATTTTGCAAGTTCATCATAGATGTAGAATTGACAAAATTACCAGAATTGTACTGTACACGATTACTCATACTAACACTTTGCTGTGAACTTTGAACAAAATTTTTCGATAAAACAGTAAAAGATTGTCTGTTTTCAGCAGAAATAGATGTGGAATTAAAATTCATGAATTCTGATGTACGACATACTACTGGCATACCATCACCACCACCGCCACCGCCCCGCCACCGCCAACTCCTTGTATTCCTCCTCCAGTTCTAATATTTTCTGAAAATTCATCATGATTATTAACTGACCATAAGGATGAATTGAGCATATTTTGTTTACGAGCCTCGAGAAGCGCTTGTCTTTCAGACTGGCGAGCAAGTTTAGAAGCTTCACGAGCAGCTTTCATTTCACGTGCACGTTCTTCTTTCTCTTGTTTCAATTTTAACCTTTCTTCACGTTCCTTTTCTATATAATAAAACAAAAATTAGATAATAGTAGTAGTTTTAATATATTGTACTGCTTCATTGATGAATACTATTAAGAATTAAAACAATAAAGATTATTTACAGGATTTCATCATGAGCTGACATCGGTCAGAGAACCATTGGAAAACCAGACACAGGGAGTACTGGACAGCTGTTTCGTCAGCCTAGTTTGGAACTCTCCATCAGTAAGCACTCACCAACTGGGGTTCGAACCCAGGACCTTTCGGTTCGAAGGTGAGCTCGTAGACCATTAAGCCACTGGAAGCCGATTCAATGGCTAGTCCATGAATTCCATAGCGGGTGTGTCATCGGTGAGTTTGCGAACCGAAACTTGAATAAAGATTATTTTTCAAAAAATTTAATTTAAATCCAATCCGATGGAGTGTTCGTGAACTTATCATATTCATATTGGTGCCATAACACTTCAACTCAAAACCGACGATTAAATCACTGTACTAAGGTCAAGAGTTCCACCTTTTGTGAAGTTAATAATACATACCGCTCGACTGCGTCGGTGGCATAGCGGTTAGGACGTTTGTCGACCATGCACATGGTCTGGGGTTCGATCCCCGGCCGACGCACTCCTTTACCTCACCAAGTCAGAATTAATGTCGGTGAAGAGGAAAGGTTGGGCATGAGGCTAGCAACCCCATCCTGTAAAATAAACATTTGCTACAGAAACTTCAAGCCACTAGCTTGAAGCCCTATGTTCCAGTGGGGAATGTGAAGGGAAAAAAAACCGCTCGACTGATCAAACTTATGTAGGGTGAATTAAAGTAAATCTACGATCTGTACAGTAGATAGGATAGACAAAAACAGTAAATAATGTTTCAATATTTCAAGAAAATGTAGAGGAGAGTTACCCTCGGAACCCATACTTTACTCTGTCTCACTACTTATGACTGACTTATCCATGGAGAATTCTACACTCATTCATATCACAATCATCACGGGTACTCCTCGAACACAGATAGTCTGTAGATTGGCATTTTCCAACTTACACCATCTCTCTGGCGTAGACGTGATATCCGTCTGTCGACCAAAGGGTGTGTGTGTACTGTGCAGCAGGTTGCTGCGCCCTCCTTTATGGTTGTAAGACATGGCCATTGAAAGTGGAAGACATGAGAAAGCCAGTGGTCTTTGATCATAACTGTCCGCATTCTATCTCCAATGTTAGGTGTTGTACATGCCTAACCATCGCCTTCTTCGATGGGCAATGTCAGTTGACACATAGGATTAGGTTGGGAAAGAGTTAGGGGGGTGGTCAAACCAAAACCTGGAGTCAGTCCATGAAATATTTAACAGTTAGTTTGAGCCAGCCAGTCACATAAGAAGATGTAGATCGTCTGGTTGGGGTCCGTGGGATGCAAACAACCAATGACTAGCGACTAGTGATGGCTAAGATGCATTCACACTCATTGTGATCTCTCATATCTATTAAAACCCTATCGTTTTTCCATGTTACCATTCTTTCTCCCTCAATTTTATGCTTATTATCAATCTTTTGAATCGCCTTTTCTTTCTCTCTTGTCTTCCTTTGTGTGATACGCGGAGTGTGACAACTCAAAATGGTGCACTTCTGTGCAAAATTCCATGTCGAAAACATTGAGTTAGATTGGCTTTAGCACAGTTCAACAAGTAAATAAAACAATAGCCAAAATAATTTGTACGGGCTAAGCTATTTTCCAGGTATTCAAAGTAGAAAACTTCAACCACAATAACAACAACAACAATAAAAAACTTTATTCACCCGCATTGCATTGCATTGAATTACTGTTAGAAAAGAATAAATTTTTTGAAAAAATAACCAAAAGTCTCAACTAACCTTTACGTAGCTGTTTAGCTTTCGGACCGAAAGCAGGTAATTCATCAAATTCCAACAGTTTTATTCCTGAAGGCTTCCTAACTGCTGACATAGCAGAACTCCTATTGTTGATTCTATCACTGATAGACATTGGCTTATTTTCACCATTATTCCCAACTTTATTTAAATTATTCCGTGACCATACTGGAGATCGCTTAGACTCTAGTCTGGCAGAATTACGATCAGATATACGCGGGAAAGTACTTTTTCGCTTAGATGAAGTAGAATCAGATTGTGATACATTAGTTGAATTGCCTGAATTGTTGACTTCTTCAGAAGTGATCAACTCCTCTGTTTCATCTTGACGAGCGAAACTTCTACCTGGTATTGGCACGTGAACACGTCTTCGTTGACACTCGTCTTTTAGTTTTTCAAGGTAGGTCTCTTTCAGATGTTCTGATTCCAGTTTTCCTCGTCGTCGGAAACCACATTCATTGGGCTCTTTTTCAGATGAATCACTCTTTTTTACACTTAGAAATGTATCGAGAACATTACTACCCAAGTATTCAGCTAATAAAGGAGTTTCTACTATATTCCAGCTATTCGCGCTCTTCAGTAGTTTATCAATGTTCTTCCCAAAGGCTTCATTTGTTGGAGAAATATCAAAGTTAAGGTAATTGAGAGTTTGTTTGCTGTGCAAAATTGTAGCAACAGCTTTAACAAGATTATTTTCTTCATCCAAGGCTTGAAGAAATATGCTTTCTATGTGTTTATTGATCTGTGCAGGATAGAATGAATGGAAAAAAAATATATATATAAAATAAGAGCAGACACTCGTAATAAAAGGCTGACTAACAATAATTATAAGACTAGGGTCGTCTTACGACCTAATACAACAAACTTGAAAAACTATTGCTTTACTTATATTATTAGTAATTTATAAAACGCTCTAAAGTAAACAATTATAATATGCATTTATAATACTCGACAAGTACTTAAAGTAGTGAATTGGTAAACTTCATGTTTTATACTCAAGTAGAAAGGATTGTGCAATACTGTCCTCTATGTCATATATCAGCCTAGTAAAAGTGGGAGTAATTAGGTCGAAAAATCTTAGCAGTCGCCAACGAAACTTGATACAGTATAAGCACTGAGAAACACATCATACAAAACAATAGAACAATATGGATCGTGAAATATGGCAAAAAATGTTAGTACTGGTTAGGGCGGGTGTACTGCTCAGCAGTCCGCTCCGTCCTCCTTTATAACTGAGACATGGCCATTGAGAGTGGAAGACATGAAAAGACTAGCTGTCTTTCATCATAGGTGTCTGCGTTCTATCTCCCGTGTGAAGTGGAATAATAGGCTAAGCAATACTGAGGTTAGGCGTCGAGTGCTAGGTAAGGAGGGGATATCAATCGACAAGGCTGTGAAGCTACATCGACTGAGATGGTTAGGACATGTGTTACGTATGCATAGCCATCTTCTTCCTCCAAGAGCAATGTTGGCTGACATAGGGTCAGACTGGAAAAGAGCTAGCGGTGGTCAAATCAAAACATGGCTTCATCAGTCAATCAAATCCACAACACTTAGTCTAAGCCAGCCAGTCAGCCACGTAGGAAGGTGTAGACTGGCTTCCTGGTTGGGGTCCTTGGAACGGTAAAAACCAATGAAGGCTGGAGATAATTGGTGATATGACCCAAAATCGTTCTCAATGATAGTGCAGATGCATCCACTCCTTGTGACTAAGGATTTCCAATGAAACTACATTGTTCTTCGTTATTACTATTCCTTTTGTCTCTCACCTCTGTTTACTGTCTTTATTATGCATTTCTTCTACTTTCTTCTCTTGATTTGTGTGCTACATGGAGTGTGGCGACTTGAACTGCTGCACACTGGTGCAAAGTTCTATGTCGAAAACAGACAGACAGACAGGTGGGTTGTATTTATCAAGGAGTTTCGTATATGCACTGGATAACTCCAACAGTAACTGGTTTGCTGTCACCCAGATAAACACCTATGAACGAAAAAAATACCAAAACCAACTGATGACGTATACATTAAAACCTGAGGATATGTTAATTGTATTATTTTATGTGAATATTATCTACGGTGGTTACAAATCTTCCCAATGCTGTATCTCAACGAGGATGCATCTGCATCTGTGACTGGTGTTAGTGTTAGTCATCTAGATACGGGACGTTGAATAGGTTAGTTTCAATAACAGTTTAAAAGGTATTAAAAACTTTTGAATCACGTATCTTGTCCTACCAAATATCTAACATTGTGTAATATATTGGGATTAGATAAGTGGTAATCTATTTAATGTACACTAACCTTAGTGTCATTTATAAGCTTAATCATTTAACGCCAACCTAAATTGATTCACGGAATAATAACTGAATTAAACTTTTGCTTGTTAATTAATAAAGATTAGCATAAAAGCGAATGTGGAACTATTTTCAACACTTAATATCCCAATAATAATGAACAAGCAGCTGGTATTAGAAGCCGTTACATGTTACATTTCTTGACTACCCATTCAATCATTAAACAAAGCATCCAGATTACTGTTATCTCTGATTGTGCGAACTGGGAATAGCCGTAATCGTACCAGTGAGGCACAAACACGATAGAACCAGGCAGGGTTTAGACCTGGAAGAGGTTGTATTGATCATATCTTCACCCTTCGACAGATTCTGGAACATAATCATACTTACCGGCGTCCAACAATCGTTATATTTCTTGGCTTAAAGGCGATATTCGATTCTGTCGATCGAGAGGTACTCTAGCGATGATTGGCTGTAAAAGACCCATAAATCGCATTGATCAAGGCACTCTACTCGAACTCATGCAGGCAGGTGAGGGCTTACGGCGAGTTTTCATCTGAGGTGGTGACAACTAATGGTGTCCGTCAGGGATGCCCACTATCCTCATTTCTATTCAATTTCATCATAGACGTACTAATGGACTTAAACCTAACTCACTTCACAGACTCAGGGATTGACTTGTTACCTGGGAATAATCTCGTTGACGTAGAATATGCAGATGATATAGTCCTTCTAGATGAAAACTCTGACAAAATATAGAGTCTTCTGGACACCTTGAGCAGAAATCTTCGAATGTCTGCAAAGCGACTAGCTCCAGTCAAATGTAAGGTGATGCTACAGGACTGGACTACATTGACTACTAACTAAGAGATAGGGAGTGAAGTGGTAGAGCATGTTGACCACTTTACTTATTTGGGGAGTTGCATAAGCCAACGCCATTGGGTTGACTGCGGACGAAATCTCAACACGGATACAGAAAGCTTGTTTGGCATATGCCAACTTACACCATTTCTGGCGCAGACATCATATCCGAGTGTCGACCAAAGGACGTGTGTACTGCTCAGCAGTTTGCTCTATCCTCCTTTATGGCTGTGAGGAAGACATGGCCATTGAAAGTGGAATACATGAAGAGATTAGCTGTCTTTCATCATAGGTGTCTGCGTTCTATCTCCCGTGTGAAGTGGAATAATAGGCTAAGCAATACTGAGGTTAGGCGTCGAGTGCTAGGTAAGGAGGGGAAATCAATCGACAAGGCTGTGAAGCTACATCGACTGAGATGGTTAGGACATGTTATGCATGCCTAACCATCGCCTTACTCCAGGGGCAATGTTGGCTGACATAGGGTCAGACTGGAAAAGAGCTAGTGGTGGTCAAACCAAAACATGGCTTCATCAGTCAATCAAATCCACAACAGTTAGTTTAAGCCAGCCAGTCAGCCACGTAGGAAGGTGTAGACTGGCTTCCTGGTTGGGGTCCTTGGAACGGTAAAAACCAATGAAGGCTGGAGATAATTGGTGATATGACCCAAAATCGTTCTCAATGACAGTGCAGATGCATCCACTCCTTGTGACTAAGGATTTCCAATGAAACTACATTGTTCTTCGTTATTACTATTCCTTTTGTCTCTCACCTCTGTTTACTGTCTTTATTATGCATTTCTTCTACTTTCTTCTCTTGCTTTGTGTGCTACATGGAGTGTGGCGACTTGAACTGCTTCACATCGGTGCAAAGTTCCATGCTGAAAACAGACGGACAGACAGTAATCGCACCACACGAGCTGGTGGAAGCCTTCGGAAAGGCAGACAGCTGTTTTCTTTCGATGAAAGCGGAAATAAGCATGCGGACATGGAATGTTGGCAAAATATTCGAAGCTCAGAAGGCACCTCAGATTGCACAAGAAATAAAATGTGGCATAGGGATGCTAGGAACTTGTGACAGCAAAAAACTCGAAGATCTACAGGCGAAAACCAACAAGTTCAAAGCAGACGCAGTGAAGACAGGATTTCAAGTGAACATAGAGAAAACAAAGGTGATAAAGATAACCAAACAACAACAGGCATCAACCACTATCGATGGAAGAAATTTGAAAGAGATCACTCCTTTGACTTATTTGGACAGCATCGTTTCAACTACAGGATGAAGACGTCAAAACCAGCAAAGTTCGGAGAAGTAAGACATATTCATCAACCTGAAATCAACGTGGAAATCTGTTGCAATGATCATAAAGAAAAAGATACGGCTTTTCAACACTAATACCAAATCAGTGCTCATATATAGTTAAGAGATTTGGCGCGTTGCTAAAGGTATTTCCAATAGGTTACTGCGGACTTTCACCAACGGCTGCCTTAGCTAGCTTCATACTGAAGATCAGATGGCCAGCCACAAAGGATTAGCAGCAAGAAGCTCTGACAACCAACCAACCAATAACTTATCGCCAAACATATAAACGGAAGGAAACGGAGATGGGTTGGAGACATGCTGAGACCGTTGAGTGACATCACACGTCAGACCAGTCCTCGAGTGGAACCTGAATAGAAAACGAGGTGAGCGTCTGAGGATGACATGGAAATTCTGTAAGGAGATGAAAGCTGGTCAGTTATTGAGCCATCTGAAAAGGACTGCAGAGAAGACGATGAAACGGAAATGTGCTGCTGACGCCTTATATTTCACTCGGAACCCAAAGGAATATTAATACATGACAACTACTTACAAATTAAGTACTATATGGTCACACAGGTAAAGGACTTACATGATGCATTTTAAGTGTTTTGAAGACTGACATGTGTAAAAATATACAGGTGATACAAAACGTATCATTCGAAAATAGAAATTGCAAACGGAAGTATAATCCCGGTTGCTGATATTTCATACGACTTCGGTTCTACCAATCACTGTTTAGTCTAGTTTATCACTCTTTAGAAGCGTAGCATACACCGCACATACTTATCAAAAATAGCAATGAGCAGAGTCACAATGTATTAGTTGCCGGGCTTCAGTTTCAATTACACTTACATCCGTGTTGCAGCATTAACAACTGAGTTCACAAACAGAATAGAAGCATTTGCGCACAAACACTATATTCCTTCGTTTGCCTAGGAAATATTCACTTCAAAAGCCCTCACCCCAGTCACATACAAGAGTGTTTCACTCTGAGTGTCGTGGAAACAACAATTCTGCTCAACATGTAGACTGAGCATTTTCAATTATACACATCTAATATAAAGTAAGAAAATGTTTAGAGAATCATTCCACTAAACCATTAAATTTAATTAGGGGATTGAATCCATGTAGCATGTGTGCATTAACCAGAGTATAAAAATGATCTACTACACAAAGTCGGAGTTGTAAGTTACTAAGTTACATATTTTGCTCCTGACCCATTTCGGCTAGTTATTACTATTGCCATAACAACAAAAATACGGTTGATTTAATTAATTAACTACTGTTCATATAAATGTAAAGATTTGTAGCAATTTTCGAAGTTAAATATGAACAGTAAACCCGCAAAGATAGGCTTTTTTGCCGTCGACCTTAACTTTCTGTTGCTGTAATTTTTTACAATGGTTTTATCACTAAAAAGTGATAGACAACAATTTTTATCCCAAGGACAAATTCTGTCCACCAATTGATTATATTGCAGTTGTCATGTATGACAGTACACAGAAGACATGTCACGTGGGCTGATGAAATAACAGCAAACACCGGGAATAACCTAGAGAGAAAGCCAATGAATATCAATTGGATAAACAATCTGACTTATTGACTGTCACCTGTATTATCGCTAGAAAATTCATTATGCAGAACACCATAATAAAACTAATGGGCTGATCCAACAGAAAAAAAAAACATAAAACCCGACAAAGTTTTACTACTGGATATCACTAAACAACACCTAACTTCAATCAGTATTTAAGCCTTAAATGTACAGATTTACCTTTTCAACGTGTAAATGAAGACTGTCAGAGAACAAGAGACAGTTATTAAAGCAAAATGACAGGGTAACCGAATAGTTATTGTGATGGCAAAACTATTACGACGCAAGGAAAATTTATAAGACATATTTGTGATATAATGATAAACTCTTAAAGAAACATTTGAAGTCATCACGTACCTTTTCGACTGGGCTTTGCTTCATATTGCTGAATGCTAAGAGTAAACATAATTTAGACTTTACATCCATATGAGCGAATGAGGTATCGATAGATTCCAATTTTTCCTCACTGAGAGAATTTGAATCAACTGATTTAGTCCAGTTGTTGTCAAAGAACTGCTGCCGGACAAATTTTACTAAATCCCCCATCGCAACAGAATCCTTCGTTTCCCATACAACGTACCGCAGTAGAGTCAAAATGCGCTCTGATTTCGGGGTTTCCAAGGTTGAAGAACGATTCTCATTCACTCGGATTTCAGATTTTTGGTCAAAGAAAGAAGGCTCTAAACTTAGTTTATTTGCTTTTCTACGTTTTTCCACTTGTTAGGACCCTCTTCATGAGAAGTGATCAGAGTTACAGATAACACTTCTACCGGGAGTCTGATAGCGTATTTAATAACTTATTTGGAGAAGCAGAACTCCACAACTATACAGTTCCTCATTGGACTTCAAAATCCAACGAAAATTCCTCAGCCGGGTGGGATAAGAAAGAAAAGGTGAATTGTCCCCATAGTCATTTCGTAATTAGACACCCCGCTCCTTTGTCTTCAGTGTGATTCAGAGAAAAGATTTAACTGTTGGTCTGACCCCTCTTGGGTATACCGAAATCAAACATGTGACCTTCTCTTGATTATTTTTAAAGCACTTCATTCTTGTTCGTATAAGAAGTTGACGGCTTAGTTACAGCTCCCAGTTTGACCTCACTAGGAATCTGTATAAAGTCCACACAGCTTCAAGGGCTCTGGAGTCTCAGGAGTGATATAAACATTGCCCTATTTCTGCTGATGTCTAATTAACGCATGGTTCCCCAGTTTTTCACTAGAAGCAGTGTTTTCAACCCCTTGGAACAGTCTATGTGTTTTAGGCTCTGTTTACACGAACATATCGTTGTCTGAATTAACACTATAGCTGATAAAAGAAATTCGTCCATTCAACTGAACTACAGGCACTTAACTTTCAGCGGTCAGTTTGTTTACATTTGATGATCAGGTTAGACTGCAGACAATTAAGTTTTCAAGGAACAGGAGTGCGGCTATACGTTGTTCATACCGTCGTTAATAAATAAATAAATGGCCAGGGTTATGTTCTTTCTCTAGTTGGAGCAGTGTTAAGAGCAGCCTGACGACCAGGTCAGTTGGACCAAGATAAAGAGTCAGCAGATAGCGTGGCGGAAACTCATGTCTAGAAGGATAGATAGCCACACAGTTATTGTGAGCGTAATTTCTAATTGATGTCGATCAGAAACGAGCTCAAAACCGTCCAAGCAGCCTAACTAACGGGTTTCCTAGAACACCATACACCTAATTCATGAGATGACATATTTACAGTCCAGTCGTCTGATTGGGCTGCGGAAACTATAATATCTATTCTGGTTCCCCAAGCCTTTTACTGACATGAAGTTTTCACTTGGAATGCTGCAGCAGCTATGGATTTGATTTTAAGCAAACAGTGGAAGATATAAATATATGTGTAAAACTTGGGCACTGTGGTAGTAAGTAATTCCATATTAGTTTGTTTATTAGGTATATCACACAGTGAAACAGTATTATTTACTGGATGACGCTTCGAACAAAATTTATTGTTCATAATCATATCAATTGTGATCACACGACTTTGACACTTGAGTTTTATAGCTTTCTTTGTTTTCTCCCATTTGTCGTAGGGGGAGTAGAATTTTCCAGATATCGGGGACAGGTGATGAATCATTCCTATTACATGTATTTGCAGTTGTTTAGTTTATCTAATTTAGTTTATCTAATACCCTGCAATGATTGTCAGGTCAAATACATAGGTCAAACTAGTAGAACAGGGGCAGTCAGACTAGCTGAACATAAAAACTTAGCAAAATCTAGATTGGTTGACCCGAATAAAATAAGAAATCTAGAGAATAGTTCAGCTATAGCACTACATGCAGTCACACACAACCATACAATAGGATGGGATAGGATGACAGTTTTAAAATCTAATGCCACAGGGTATAGGGAGAGATTGATAACAGAAGCAAGCTTTGTTTATCGAATCAACTGCAAATACATGTAATAGAAATGATTCATCACCTGTCCCCGATATCTGGAAAATTCCACTACCCATACGACAAATAGGAGCATTGAAATCACCGGCAATAAGGCACCGTCACTATGAAGTCCATGGGCCTAGTTTTTCTGTGAGAAATTCACCTGTGCCATTGGGACTAAGATACATTGCGTTCCTCTTATTCCAGCCCACAATGTAGAAGTAAGCACAGTCATTTTCGTGTGTGTCAGGCTTTTTCTAAAACAAATGACTACCCCCTCCTCGCTTGCGTTTTGACAGGTCTGTCCTATACATAGTGAATTCTTTCAGGTTAATTCCACTGATGCTGTTTGCAGGTTTTGTCAAGGACTGCGTGGTTAAATAATGTGGTTGCAGTCATTTTGTCTATGGGAACAATATGATAACTAGTCATTCAATGGAGCACATCAAGAAATATAGAAATACTGTCTTCGCATTAACAAAAAACACCCAAGTATGTTTTGGATGGATTACAAATACTTTGGAAAAAAATAAAGCTTGAAGTAATTCCTCCATATAACTTTGGTGTGTACGGCATCGAGTCTCAACATGTGTGAAATTTGGGTAGTATCGTAGCATGCAGTTTAACAGTCTTTTATTGGATATATTACAAAGTGAAACAGTATCAATAACAGAGGTTTGAGAGTCATTAACCTTTGATTTTCCACTGCCCAAAAATTTGTAAATATACGGCTCATACATTTTATTTTTTTATCAGGAACTTTATTTGCAGGGCAGCACTCTATCTTATCCCAGAGATGGTCTCTTTAGGGCAGAAAATATCCAAACATGAAATGTGTTCTAGGCTGTTTCACAATACCCTGCCATGATACTGTTACAAACTGTACCATGTATAACACCGTGAATAGGATCTGAAATCTACTTTGTTTGAAAGCTCAGCAAGAACTCGCTTTTTCTGTGACATCAGCTGTGACTAAATGTGTATCACAAAATGAGATTCATCTCCAACAAGTTCATTTATGAACTTCAAACGTTTAACAAAAGTCGACAGAAACGACAAAAAATTAAAACCGTCACACGATACAGACTTCACTTAACAACGACACAAGAACTCTACAAAGCCATATGGCCATGCCTCCTGAACTACTTCAGGCTTGTTTCCCATCGGCTTCAGTGATTATTGTCTGGCTGCCTATCCTGATATACGTGTGCCCCTGTCATACTACCTCCTGACTCTTTAGCCTTACACAGATAACCTGGTGATTAGGCTTCTCTTAACACCGCCTTAATTAATGAAAGGGAAACATAATACTTACAGTCGTTCGAGGATGAGTCTATTAACGACATTATAGACAGAACGTAAGGTCACGCGACTTCCTAAATTCATTTATACAGTTCCGTTGTTTTTCACTTGATTTGAAAATCAAGTGATTATGAGCAATAAATTGTGCTCGAAACGTCATCAGTAAACATTACTGTATAACACTGTGAGACTTTATCAAAACAAATTTAACCGTAATGGAATTGCACTCTACCACAGTGCACAAGTTTTATTCTTATATCAAAGCGAACTTATCCCGACTCGAATCAACCAAACAGCGCAAATACTCACCAGATATAACAGGTGGCGTTACTTCAAACCAGGGTCATACTATTGTTCGTACGAACTACAAATTAGGTTTCATCACTTTGAAATACACCCAGTACTTAACTCATGTTACCGCTTGCGCAGTTTTCGCGATGTTTATTGCTCCTGCACTTTTAAATGCATTTTCTCTCACTCGCGCGTTTGGAATAAAAATTATAATATTTCTACCTCGGACGTGTTACAATTACCAGTTAGGATCAGAGCAGCCTGCCAGAAGGATGTCACTCATCCATATTTATTAGGCCTGTTCGCGCTCCTTGAATACGACGTGCTTTATCCTCTCTAACGGGAAAATACCTAATTTGTGAGTTATCCGCTTGGGAAACCTCATCTTCCTATCCGGTGAATTAAATTCAAACACCCGTTCCACATTAAATCTCTGTGTGGTAAGTCCAACTGTCTGGAACTACTGCGCTACAGTTGTAGCAGCATCTTCCTCACTCGTTCAAATAAACAAGACTTGTTGGTCTGCCAGAAAAGGAGATGCATGCCAGTCCTGTAGTGTTGTCACTTCTAAAACTGACTCAGTATTTGGTTGCAATTTTTGCAAACGATGGGTGCACTGCCGTTTTGACAAAGGGGTGCCAAAACCATATTATAAGTTTGTGAGAAATAATCCACGCCCCACCCTGGCACAGTCTCACACAGCGTTACTTCGGATAACAGAAACAGCGCGCCACTTTTCTGTCCCGGCAGAGTCCCATGCAGAGCTCCACCTGATGACACCACACTACCAAAACTTGGTAAACACCGTAATAAGGATACTCCTGCCCAGCCGACTGGAAATATCAATCTTCATAGACCGAAGACTCCTGGAACAACAGGGAAGGACGGAGTTGCCAAAGCACCAATTACATCCGCTAGCAAGCATGACAACATAGCGAAGTCTAGTCAGAACCTGATGCAATCTGAAGTGACTGCCTGTACGAAGGAGGACATGCAGCCAAAAGCCGAACCTAAGTCTGAGGTCAGTCGGTCGAAATCCGTTATCCTGTTTGATGTACTCGTGTAAAATGATGCTTTGCTTGAACAAAAGGCCCTGTTTGATAAGGACCAGTGGTTCAATTTGTGCAATAAATTATGTCTAAACATCAGTTCAGCGAAATTGTTCAGGCTGTATGGGGGCGTCCTGGCACCTCAGGGTAAGCCACCTTCATTTAGGGTTACACTGGGCTCTGCAGAAGAGGCTTAAAGAATACTATTACTGGCTCAAGTATTAGCTATCGGCAGGAGTTCCAGCATAAGAGTCAGATATGATAGGCCGTGGGCCAACAGGCAAATGGGAGTCACTGGAACTGATGCCTTCCACCTCTATGGTCATACACTTAGTTTCGGAGCTGGAAACTGGCACTGCTTGTTAAAAACACATGCATGACGTACAGCGATGGAGATGGTTGTCATCTCAGATGGCCCCTGGTGCTTCTGGAGCAATCTCGATTTTCCGGCTACCTTGCCCCGCTCATCTCACGCTGATTAGCTCCCCAAGGCTACTAAGTGTCAAATTCAACTCTCAGGAACAGTTGGCCCTAGTACTTCAA